CGTGAGTGAGAGTGGCGGCCTTCTGAACCACAGCCCTGAGCCAGTCCTCATCGCCATGGCCGAGCGCGTTGACGGCGATGCCGGAGCTCATGTCGAGATATTCTCGACCCTCAACATCGACCAATTTACAGCCATTGCCACTCTCCAGCACCACCGGCGCTCTCGCGTAGGTCCCGACCAGGACCTTTGCCTCCGCCTCCATCACCTCCTTGCTCTTCGGAATCCCTAATTTCTCCGCCGCGCTGTCCGGTGCTTCCACTCCGACACCGAGGCAGGCTATCGGCGTCGGAGAAGATTTCCGGACCTTGATTCCGACGAGTGAGCATTCTCGCCCTTGGCGGCGGAGGAGATTGGTCGGCGGGAAAATCGGGGTCTTGAGAGAGGCATGGAGAGAGGTCATATTGTGTCGGATTGGATTCTCGATGGACGGCGGGGGTGGAAACTGAAACTGGAAGCTGTTTGTTTGCTGAGAAAGCGTGGGAAAAGGGAAGTTTGTGCCTTAAGTTTAGACTAGGGTAGTGTAATGTCAATTGTGTAGGCGGAAAAGCTACAGTTGTGATTTGTTAGCAAATTTGACACCTTTTTTTCCAATAAAAAAAAGAAAAATAAGAGGTCCCTCAACTTTTTTTTTCTTTCTAACATTAATCCCTGTAGTACAAAATAATTCTATTTTAATCCCTGAACTCTATGTTTTGATATCAACTTTCATATTTTCTGCTTAAATTATATCACCAGTTCTAATGTACCCCTTAACTATAAAACATACATATTATTGATTCTTAACTGTTCATAACCAATAGAAAAAATGTTGACCATTTTTTACTTTTATTTTTGAAGGTAATATAAAGAATCGCGACAGATTAAATAATTATTAAAAAAAGAGAAAACAATCTTTTTAGCTAACTATTATTAGTAAGATAAAAACATAAACCAGTTCTCAATGAACTTTCAACCAATCACACCAGAAAAACAACAATAATTATAATAATTATAAAGAAGAACAACCCAAGTCATGGAATTTGAAAGGCAAAGTTATTATAATAGCTAAAAAGTACATCTTATTTCATTCATTTTCTCATACCATAGTAGAATTTCATGTCTATAGTGGTAAGTAATCCACTAAAGTCGTTCAATCATTCTGTCTGCAATCTGGCAAAGATCTTCATAAATCCTCATTTCACAAGCAACTTTGCTTGAGATTTTGACCACTTTGTTCTTCTTAATACTCCAAAGGCACGAAAAGTGCCTATAAAGTGTCGCAGTCACAAACTTCTCAGCATTATCATAGTCATCGCTCTTGAGACTCACAATTGCAGATAAGAGATCCTTCTTTGAATCCAAATACCCTTTACTACATTCCATGAGAACATCTTTGGAAGACTGATCTTTAGACACAGAAGACATGTTTGACAATTTGTCCTCCAAGGAATCAGCATGGTTGTTTAGGCAGTTTACCACTATAGTGGTGAGCCCCACTTTGTCCGCCGATTCAGCACCCGGGTCAGAGTTAAGACACTGGACGCAGACTTCCGGCGCGTCGGATTCGTGGCAGACGATTTGGATCAGCCCGCGGTCTGCCGCAGCAAGCCGAGAGAGTTGGTATGAGGAAAGGAATAGAGCAAGAAGGAGGAGGAGAAGATTAGCCTTGGTGTGTTTGGAAATTCTGAAGGAAGCCATTCTTTAAGGTAATCACTTCTGATTATGCAATCCTCTAGCTATATGCAGTAGTATAAATAGCTTCAATTTGTGAGCCAAGGTTAGTGTCTGATTAAGGTTGTTTGAAAATGGAATTTGTCATTCTAGCGAATAATTGGTTGGTCCACTCACATTATTTTTTCTTTTCTAATTTTCTGTTTTGTATAACACATTTAGAAAAGACTATGATAATATGATAATACCCCACGTCTATTTTTTTTTTGCCATTTCAGGCCAGCCAACCATGCCATTACCACCACTAATATTCTTGACAAATCCTCTAAGAAAATGACTTTGATTTTGTGGTAAAAACAAGCAAAAATTCATTTGCAAATGTGTATACTAAGATAGTATTAGGAAAGAGGATCGCCAAGTTATTGTCTTGCTTGTCTTATCACATTGCATTAACAAGGTTCATTACATAACATCTCCTTCATTTTTGCTTTAATCGTTTATGCCAATAGTTGGCACAACTTTCACGTCTTACTTAGCTAAATTTCTTAATCCTTCATTTGTAAGTGCACCACTAAATAAAATCATTGTGAGAATAGTAAAACAAACCTATTATGTGTATGAAAAGAAATTGCATTGATTTGGTCAAAGAGGTTTGGCAAATCAAGTGGGGAAAAAATTATGCTAAGGGGTTGACGTTTTTAGAAGTTTAGTTTTATGAACTTTGTTGCGTATATGAATTTCCTATCATGAGAACCAAGTTAAATTTTTGTTTGAGAAAACTTCTTTATCTTTAAAGAATGAGATTTGAGAATAAAAAATAAATAATAATAATAATAATAATAATAATAAAAGATATGGCAAAATTTCACCTATGTGAAAAGGCTGAAGAAGAAGGGGCGGCCTTGAGTACCGGTCTAAAAGAAAACTTAAGCTGAAACTCAAATTTTGTTGATCATGTTGATCTTTTTTTTTTTTTTTTTGGTTGCTCATATGATCTAGAGATTGATTAAATCAAATAATTGCACTAAAAACCGTTCATCTTTTGTTTCATTTGTCTGAGTTGTGAGAATCCGTATTTTATTAGTACAACAAAGAAAAGTGCACTTCATCTTCTATCATATCGGTGCCGTTTCTCACGATCTCGCTCATCCCTATATCTCTCTCGCCTCAATTCATCCTCCTTGTATTCTCTACGACTTCTCTCACTCTGCCTATGCCCATCCCTCGAGTCTCTCTTTTCTCGAACCCTATGCCTCGAGTCATCCATGCTCTGCCTGTTCATCTTTTGTTTCTCTACTCGTTCATCTGAATCATGGCCCCGATGTCTCTTCTCCCGTCGTGGACTTCTCCTCGTGTCTTCATCGAAAACCATGTCATACCTACAATAACGTTTTACTGTCAGGAGGAGGTAGAAAAAGAAAGAGATGCATGTCCACATATATAAGAAAACAAACCTAGAGTTTTCGCCTTCGCCTCGCTGTTGATTGTCGTCCTTTAAGACATACTTTCTCTCTTGGTCTTTCATTGTGGGGCCTCCAGAAGTGCAATCCTTGGCAATATGATCAACGGCACCACATTTGAAACAACCCCCTCCTACAATAATGAAATACAAACTTCAATATTCCCATGAGAAAAGAATCCAAATGATGCACATACAATAAATCTCAGAAACCAAAACATCAAAAGAACATAATGTGTAAACCAGAAAGAATAACTGAGCATAGAAAATTTTAGGTAGACATGTAATGTAATGTAATTTTTTTTTTTTTTTTGAAACAGAAACAGGGGAATTTTATTGATAAGGAAAAAATTTAAATAAATTAAAAAAAAAAGAAATAAAAAGAAAAAAGAGGAAGAGGTTCCCTCAGAGAACAAAAGACTAAAATAGAAATTTAAAACAGAGAGTCCCAACCCCTTAAGAGATCAGAAAACAATAGAAAATTTAATTTTATCCCAGAAAACTGTCGGCTCCTCATAAAAGCAACTCGATGCCTTTACCCTTTTTGTGATCTTTGCGCCTGTATTGTGACCATAGCTTCGACACACTCTGGCTAAAATCAACGTGTATCCTCCGATCATCAATCAAAGCATTGTCCATCTGTAACATAACGTCATAACCCAAATAAAGCAAAATGACTTCAGCCTTAGAAAGAGAGAGAAGAAAAAGAAGTCGTGCAGAAAGTAAATGGAAAGTTCGAGCCAAGGAAATAGCATACCTTGAAATATGCGTTTTCACATGATTCATTGGTCTCAAACTCTGTGATATAATTCAACGTTATGAGAATGTTGATAAAAATTTAAAAGACTGCTTTAACATTAAAATTAAGAAGATGAAATTAAAAAAAAAAAAAAAAAAAGAAAGAAGAAAAAGTGCCATCAAGCATAGTACTACACAAAAGTGTCCTTGTTAAAATCAATTAAGGGAAAATGCCAAACGATAAGTATAAACAAAAAAAAAACAAAAACAAAAAAAAAACAAAAACAAAAAAAAAAGGTAACATTTCAATGGAAAAACTCTCACCTATGAAAGCATAGCATAAACTGTCACCAGTCTTATAATCACGGATTACTTCAGCCCTGAGAAATTATTTACATAAGATTAGACATCCAAGCAATTCGCTGACCATCCAGCTGAAAAGCTAAGAATATTATACAGAGGAAAAAAGTTCTAGTGTGAGTTCACTTACGATAGTACAGTCCCAAACCTCGAGAAAATTGTGTGCAAATCCTCATCCTGCAGTAACAAACGAACCATTGAACAATATGTTCCAATTAAAGAAGCACTAGGAGAAACTCATTATGAACATAGATTATCACAAATACAAAGTATACAATTATTTAACATAGCGTGGATCCTTATGACACAATATGGGATAAAGGATTCACCCACCTCAGTAACTGGATTCAGTTTACAGACAAACAGAACATTGTCCGGAGGCTTTATCTCAGCATCAGGAATATCTCCAATCTGTTATGCAGACGTGGCAAAATAATGTGGAGAGAATATATTAATATGTGAAAAAATTCATTACCTTTAGATACTAAAACAGAAAAATCAATGAACGCATATCAGAGACTCACACTCTCAAGTACGACAGCACTAGAATGTGCTTCCTTCACACGTATAACCTCCTCAAGCTCTTGTGTACTTAATTTCTCGTCCATGGGCACCCAATCATCTTCAAGACGCACATCATCATCGACCTATTTATGAGAAACATAAATGAGTTGTCATTTTAATAAAAGCTTTACAGCAGAACACCAGTACAAAGGAAAACACCAACTTCCTATTTCCTACTATTATGTCCTTTTTCTTGGCCATTCAAACTAAGGCCTATTTCAGTTCGCTGATTAGAGTTTTCAATTCGACTTGAGATGTGACTTTATGTGAGAGCTTTTAACTGTAGCAGAAAAGGTTAAATGTGACTTTTTGTGAAAACTTTTAATTGTAGCAAAACTGGAATTGAAAACTCGAATCGGTGAAATGAACGAGGCTTAAGTATCTTTCATTGACAATAAATCAACACATTTTAAGGGGAAAAGGGAAAAGAAAAGAAAAGAAAAGAAATAAATAACCCTTTTCAAGTGTCTAACGATAGTAGAAATGGCGTAAAGCAAAAATATTGTTCATCAGCAACCCATTACCTCGTCTTTTGGTCTTCCTTCGGGGGAAGCATCGGGAATGAGTTCAGCTAGTTGTGGAGGATCATCAAAAGGATCATCGAGAATGTAGGTGTGTTTGATTCTATTCACATAAAGTAGATAAATGAATATCATGATTTCAAAAGTCAATTAACTTGATTAAACTTGGATACGTCTAATCAGGTTACAATCTATCTGCAAAATATATAAAGGATAGAACAGGAATGAACCTGATATTTTTGTAGGGCCTTGCACTTTCATCTACATAAGCTTCATTGATCCGAGTCAGTGTTTCGACTCCTTCAGCTAAATCTCCAAAAACCTGGATGAGAGACCAGTCACTTTTTCAGTAATGCAAAATAGCAAACAAGTATTATCACACTTCTCAACTTAAACTTTCTAATCAACTAAGACCAAATATTAGTTGTACATGTCCTTGCTATTATATGGTTCATGACAACTGAAAAAATAACTAATACAAGTGAAGTGTCTTTTAGACAAAACGTTTCTGATCAACTTAAAACATTGACGAACAAAACACAATCAAACTTGAATGAATACCCAAAAAGTAAAAAACGACTCGAAAGGAGGGATAGGAAGCGTCTTTAGAAGACACTTTTCTTAATCAACTTAAAACATTGATGAACCAAACAGAATCAAACTGGAATGAAAAACCAGAAACAAAACGACTCCAAAGGAACGACAGGAAGTGTCGTTTAGAAGAAACTTTTTTGAATCAACTTAAAACATGGGTGAGCCAAATACAACCAAAACTTGAATGAAAACCAGCAAAAACGACTCCGAAGAGGGACAGGAAGTGTCTTTTAGAAGAAACCTTTTTAAATCAACTTAAAACATGGATGAACCAAACACAACCAAAACTTGAACGAAAACCAGAAACAAAACGACTCGAAAGAGGGACAGGAAGTGTCTTTTAGAAGAAACCTTTTTAAATCAACTTAAAACATGGATGAACCAAACACAACCAAAACTTGAACGAAAACCAGAAACAAAACGACTCGAAAGAGGGACAGGAAGTGTCTTTTAAAAGAAACTTTCATGAATCAACAAAAAACATTGATGAACCAAACACAAACAAACTTGAGCGAAAAAACAGAAAAAACCAACTCCAAAGGAGGGATAGGAAGTGTCTTCTAGAAGAAACTTTTCTGAATCAACATAAAACATTGATGAACCAAATACAATCAAATTTGAATGAAAACCCAGGAAAAACTGACTCCCAAAGGAGGGACAGGAAGTGTCTTTTAGAAGAAACTTTTCTGAATCAACATAAAACATTGATGAACCAAATAGAATCAAACTTTAATGAAAAACCACGAAAGGAAAAAAGACTCCAAACGAATGACAGGAAAAGGTCTCACAGGGGCTTGTCAAAGCTAAACATGATAAAGGTTACTTGTTCAAGTTTAATATTTTCAAAACCTTCTAAATTACGTTCCCTTGATCAGTATTCAATCTAAACTTATTAATCAACCCAAAACAACAAGTTAGAGAGCAAGAGACTCACGGTATGTTTGCCATCAAGATAGTCCAGACTATCTCTCAACGTGAGATAAAACTGCAAACAAGGGAAACCCAAATTGGCAAATAAACAGATGTAATTAAACACAAATTAAAAACGAGTCTATATTCAAACTCTGCTCTGCAGTCCTCTATTTTCAGTCCCGTGATTCTTTTACCTGAGAAGCATTGAGATTTTCTCCAGCACTAGCCATGGCAAGAGTGCCCATCTTCGAATGCTTCAAATCAAGATGAATCTCATCGCCAAAAAACCGAGCTTGATCACCATATAGAAATCTGAAATTGGAAACACGAAAAAACATCATTAAATTAAACAAAAACTTTGAAAGTTCACCATTTTCGATCAATTATAGACAGACAAAAATTCGTTAAGATTCTTACTTGTAAACCGAATCGCCACCGGACCCGGTTCCTGTTGGATCACCCGTTTGGGCAGTAAAATCCTTCTGCACTGTGTGAAAGAGACACCCATTATAATACTTAATCCTGAACCAACCAACAACAGAAGAAATTTTCATCAGTCAATTAAACTCACTCGAAACCCATTCGCCAAATGCCCTAATTTTTAATCTGAAAATCCACTGCCCTAATTTTTAATCTGAAAATCCACTTACTTGCAAAGTTTGAGGAAATTTTTACAAGTGAGGGGACATTTTTCGGTGTACAAGTCCACGACAATATCCCCTAAACTCGTCACTATCAGCACCGACATGGGTTCCAATGTCGCCGGAAACGCGGCGGCAGTGACGGCGGAAGGCTTCGCTTGCGAGAGGGTACGGCTGCGCTAGCTCTCGTTCGAGTTCGTCTTCTCTCACTCACGATCAACAATCGCAAAAAGTAGCACACGGCAACAGCAGTGCTCGACAAGAAGGGGAAGACCACAGTGGCGACGGCGTTCACGCTCAGTCCAACGGCGACGGCGACCTGCAGAACAACGGCGACCTGCAGAACAACGGCGGCCTGCAGAAAACGGCGGCGATAGTCTGACTGAAGAAGAGCGGCGGCAGCTGCACGAAGTCGTCCTCTTCTCCTCCTCGTATTGCAGAGATGATCTTGGAGGGTAACGGGCTCAATACAATTGACCTAGCCCAAACACCAAAAGGCCCAAATAAAATTGATGAGCCCAACATACAACTTGGTCCAAATCCTATTTTCACGTGCAACAGCTCTTCAAATGTCCATTCCAATTGCCATCAGCTTTTAAAAAGAATCAGTATCACAAGTCTAGATACTCTTTGAAAGGTAAAAGCCACAATTTTTCAATGTGATGCAATTTATTAGAGATTGATTTGATTTTAAAGAAAATAAAATTGCACCATGTGTCATGTTGGGAGATGAAAGTTCTAATTGTGGGGACATAGTTCAAGAAGATTTTATGGATGATTTGATACGGATAAAATTGAAAATTTGAGTGAGCAAATTGATTTTGAACTTTAAGCCCAAGGTGAACCAAAAATTTAAGTTGAGGATGAAATTGAAATTAATAAGAGGGCGTTTGGTTTATGTATTTAGAATTATTCTTATTTTACGTGTATTTTTTGTGAGAGAAAATACTGTAAAAAACCATGAACTATAATTCAAAATTAATGACGAATATAGGAAACAAACGTCCCCTAACTGTGCAAACCTTGATGCAGGGACGCTTGTGAACTATTTTAATGTGGATAAAATTGAAAGAAAATGTGAAGAAATTGATTTTATAGGGGTTCTTGATATTTTAAGTGGGCCAATTAAGGGAATCAATTTCATTTGATTGATTTGTTGGTACGATGGGAGTCGGATTTGAAGAATTGAAGACCAAGGGAGTGACCAATGTCATCGATGCGTATTTTTGGTATTTTCCACATTCTGTTGGAGCATTGTCTTGGTGCCTTTGTGGGTTCGGGATGTGATGCAAATGAGCTATTCCACAAGCCTAAGCGAGAGTCTTTTGCCATTATTAGTTTCGCACATTACATCGCGTTCGCCTTCTAAAGAATTCTACTGAACTCGAAGTCGAGTTCTTTTCATAGGCGAAGAAAACTGATGTAAGAATTTTTAGATATAATAGTCATTTATTTTAGTTATATTGTCGTTTATTAAATTAGCTATGATTTGTTATTAGTGTGTCGATAATTGTAGTTGTTATTTTGTTAGCGCTTTATATGTGAGCTATAAATAGCCACATTACCAATTGTAAAGAAGATACTTAATATTTTGAGAATTGTTATTGTATACAAAGTTGAGTGTTTCCACTCCAATTTGAGAATCTTCCCCTTATAGGGTTTTCTTTAGATAGATTTGAGATTGTATGTTCCGTTTTCCATCCGAGTTAGGCCGAATAAAATTCTATCCCTATATAGTCCGATGCATCAAATTATGAAGCGAGGGAGATCAATGCAACCGCAAAACCAGCTGTGGGGAATGAAAACATGAGTTTCAAGACCAAAAGACAGATCCAAGAGATGGAATTGGAAGACCCTCCTATGCTGGAATGGAGACCAATCGATGCTTTCGTCAATTTTTGGCTTCATCTGAATTCTGATATTAAGTTTCGATAGGAGCAAGAATATGTGTTATGATTCAGATCATGGTTCATGGTTCGCTACAGTATTTTCTCTCATAAAAAACACACATAAACTGAGAATGATTCTGAATCATAATTCTGAATTCATGAACCAAACGTTAATCTTCGAATATTACTCCATAAGAACAAATCCTCTACACTGGGCACGAATTTATTTTGGGGTTTTATTGCTTAGACCAAATATTGAAAATAAGGAAGACATGATTAAAGAGAGGATAACATGTTTGAATTAAGACTATATCAACATTCCTTTAGACAGAGGTCCATTCTTTTTAGTATACTGGATTGCAAACTTGTGTAAAATCTTTTCGGTTTTAATATAAATCAATGCAAGCCGATGTTTATATCCTAGTAGGTTCCGGAAGTATTTAGCATATTAATGCAGACAATATTGACCAGCTGATCAATAGTGTTGTCACAAGTCTTATATTTCATCAAAAAAATGTTAAACCGGTGATGAAATTTGCAAGTGTCTAAACCTAAAACCTGTCAAGGATTCCTCAATCACTAAAACTTAGGTCGTGTTTGAAATTGATCCCGTTTTTATTTTTCACGTTTTTTCGAGAAAGAAAAAATGAAAACGTTTCTAAAACGGCATTTGGCGCAATAAAGACAAAAATAGAAATGAAAACGATTTTTTGGTTTAGTGTAAAATGAGAGAGAAATGAAAAATGACTTTTAGTTGTTTTTCATTTTTTATTTTCGTTTACTCCTCTCTCGAGCAGAGAGAAAGAAAGAGAGACATTAATGACTTTTTTTTTTACATTGAAAACAATCTCTTAATAAAATTACCAAACGCATTTTTAAAAACGATTTCTATATGAGATTGAAAACGTTTTCATTTTCATTTTTATACAAAAAAACAAAATCATTTTAAAACGAGTTCCAAACACGCCCTTAATTTTTTCTCTTCTTATCTCCTCTTTCTTTCTCTCTCCCACCCTTTTTCTCCAACACCCCACATTAAACCCACTGACACTATGGCCTCATTCATATCACCAATTTGAGCTTTAGTTATAGGTTTCTACAGTTAAAAACTCTTAAAAAATGTCACATCTAATTTTTTCTGTTACAGTTAGAAGCTCTCAAAAAATGTCACATCTCAACTTAAATTGAAAACTCGAATCCGCAAAGCGAACGAGACCTATCTCTCCACTAATAGAGCCAAGAATTTTGATCGGGACTATTCAGTGAAGGAGTCATAAAATTTGTCAGTGAGACCACTATGATGATCATTTTTTACCAAATAAACGTACGTGTATATTTTAATTATTCATGAGGGGGCACAACTAAAATTTCATAAGAACTTTAAGATTAGAAATAAAAATTTCAGAATCTAGCGGGGCTATTTGGTTGTGGCTCTGTCACAAGGGCTATAAATAATCAAGGCTATTATCAAGACAAAAAAATATCTAGTTAAGAATTTAAAGACATTTTTTTGCTTTGATTTTGTGTAATATTCTTTAGTTTTGTTCATTTTAGCGATTCGAGTTTTCAATTTAAGTTTTGCCACAGTTAAAAACTCTCACAAAAAATCACATTTAACTTTTTTTGTTACAGTTAAAAGCTTTTACATGAAGTCACATTTCAGCTAAAATTAAAAACTTGAATCTACAAACTGAACGAGGCTCCCTACTTTGAGCAACATTTCGACAAGTGTGTCTGTGCTTTATGTTGTTGGGAGGAGATCTACAACACTAACGCAATGGAACCTTTCTCCTCTTCGTCTCTCTGCTCATTCCCTCCCATATCGTCGATGGATCCACAAACTAGCCCGGTTGGTGTTGCTTGCTGGGACCAGAGGTTCTCCGACAATCTCACACTCATTCATATATGTGTGAGATGTCCGCTACCTATGGCAATCAAGGCCTTGTGGTAAGTAGCTTGAGCTCGGAGGCCAAGTTACGGAGCACAAGAAGATTTACAGATATCTCATATCGCCACAATGACTGCATGAATGGTGGAGGTTTTTTTGTTTTTTTTTGTTTTTTGTTTTTAAATAGATTTGTGGATTTTGTGAAGATTTATGTTTATAATTTGTGTTTTTTTTTTTAAATTGAATATTCAGACCATTACGATGGTTATACCACCACTAACAAATAGGTGGTTTTAAGCCCGTAGCTGGTATCACGACAGTTATCAGACAGATACCGACTGATGGTGGATGTCGGATAGATACCAACAACATAACAGCTAAATACTAGTGAATTTGGCCTGTAATTGTCGTTTGCCAATTACCGATCAATATTAAGGCGGTTATTAATTAGGAACCACCGTTGGACAATTATTAATATGCATCATAATCTTGCTGACTCTGGTTGTCTTGTTGTGATGATGGTGCTTCAGAGGAGGTTGTTGTATCTTTTTCAAAGTATCAACTGTTATTGACAGTGAAGAATTTAAATTTTTATGAGAGAAAACACTGTAAAATTTAAATTTGGTACATCCGTTTGCATTGTAGTTTGGGTGCTTATTTGTTTGGAGGGAAAAACTCGAAAATTTCAAACTCAGACAGCAACCCTTATCCGCCTCAAAGCCCAAACAACAAGAGAAACAAACAAACAAAAAGAAAAAAAAAAAAGAGGGAAAAAGAAAAAAAAAAAGGACTCATTTTTCAAATGAGAGAGAAACAGAGTGGGAATTTCGGTTCGAATTAATAATAAAAAAATAAAATCAATCCTCCAATCGTCCTGTCCAAAACACTATCCTAGTCTTTAATTTCTTTCTTTCTAATTTTTCTTTTTTAATTAATCCTTCATCAGCTCCAACAAACAGAAATTTCGCAACCAAACCATTTCTCTCTCCCTCTCTGTATCAACCTATAGATATAACCATATATATACATTTTATATACATATCTAGAGAGAGAAAGAGATTATGTCGCAGAGCAACGGAAGCAGTTGCGGCGGCGGCGGGCCCGATTTCCACCTGTCCGACGAGATTCTGTCGGTGATTCCGACGGATCCGTACGACCAGCTGGATCTGGCTCGGAAGATCACTTCCATGGCCATAGCCTCGCGCGTCTCGAAGCTCGAGGCGGAGATGGGGAGGATGAGGCAGAGGCTCCACGAGAAGGACAGGATCGTCCTCGACCTCGAGGAAAAGCTCACCCGCCTCCACCACGCCAATTCCGACGCCGAGTCACGCTTGAAGCGCGCTCTCGACGAGAACGTAAGACCTTTGGAATCTCCGTTGCTTGTTTTTCCTTTTTTCTGGTTTAGTTATTGTTTGGCTGTCGAGAAAGTCGAGGAAACAAGGAAGGAAAGGAAAGGACTTTCTGTAAAAATGAGGAAATTTGGGCTCACTAGGGTTTATTTATTTGTGTGGGAAGATGAAATTGTTGTTATGGTTTTGGTTGGTTAGTGGATTTTAGGAATTGGGAAGAAATTTGGGGGGTTTTGGTTGTTTTTGGATTTTTGAAGGGGAAAGTTTTCTTTTCCTATTATGTTGTTTTTTGAAAGGACTTGACTGAGATAACGGAAAAGAGGATATTTTGGATTGAAAAGTCTGAATTTTGCTAAATATTGGAAGCTTTTTTGTTGTAGTTTTGACCTTTGATACCAAATTGTTGCAATTTAAGGTTAATAAGTTTCTTCTTAAGCTATTCTATTGCTTTTCTTCCCCTCATTGTGAAGGGACAGAAAATATTGGAATATATACCTAGTATTTCAACATGTGTAGATAGCATTGAGTTTATAAAATTATTGTCTTAGATGATTTATTGGGATAAAAATGGTTGCTTTAGTTTCATTTCGGTTATGAAGAAAATGGAAATCAAGCGAAACTCAAGAAAGAATTAAACTTGATACATGAAACAACTGTGTTAACATGGTTTAAATGGAGGCTTTGTTTTGTCTTGTCCTGTTACAAGTAAGTTTTGTTGAGAGAGAATCGAGTAGAATGTGATGTATGGACATATTGAACTCCATATGGTTTAACGACAGTTAGAACTTATGGTGCCTTTGTTTATTTGTTGTTTGTGGTGCAGATGAAACTCTCCAATGAGCGTGATTCATTGGCAATGACAGCAAAGAAACTAGGCCGTGATTTGGCAAAGGTTATATTAAATTGCTGCCTAAAATCAGAGTCTTTTTGTTCCTTTATATTCTTGCCACAGAGGATTGCTTATGAAGAACTTTAAATTCACCATACAGACGAAATGTAAATAACTAAAAAGCTAATTACTGAAGAGTACAAGTTAATTGGATTCAAGCACAAGTGAATCCTAACTCCAACACCAAATCCAAATGTTAGGAAATCCAAAAGTTGTGAGTTTATTCTATATGTTTAAATTATATGTGAAGATGCCCTCACCAGATGTGATTAGCTTGCAACTGATGGTCCTGAGTTCAATTTTCAATTTATTATTTATCATCCTTCCCCAATTCTTACTGCTCTCACTTTTTCTTATTTTCCGTTTGATTAGTTGTGGTTTCCTTTGTTTCTGTTCTGCTACCCTTTTTCCATTCTTGTTGAAACCATTTTTTCCCCCAACTTCTATTTATTTTTATTTCTGTTTGGTTCACAGTTGGAGACATTTAAGAGACAGCTGATGCAATCACTAAATGATGAGAATTCATCTGTAAGATTTTAGAGTCACCACATTTAGATTTTGTTTTTATTCTATTTTCAATTTGAATCTTATTAGCTATGATATTTGTTCTTGCAGCCAGCTGAAACAGTTGATATTGGGACCTGTGACCAATCAGTACCCAAGGCGCATCCAGATAAGAATACTGGTAGTGATATGCTTTCTACAACTATGATCTCTGTTGTATATAATATTCATACAGTAGTAACTGTACCTGTGCATCTCTAAACTGGAAGGGGCATAACTTTCTCTGTCATTGTTATTTTCCTTTGTTACACTTGGTTTGGTTATCATCTTTATTTATTTATTTTCTTGCGGGAACAGATGACGTGACCAATGGCTACAATGGAATACATTCCTCAAGCGGTTCTACAGATATGGGAAGCACAATAGACGAAGGTATTTGAATTTTGTCTCTTTTGTTTGTACAGCGTTTTTGGCATCCATTAATAGCACTTTCTGTAATACACACATATAAATTACGTTCAAGTTTTTTAGTTTTTCTTCTTGCACCTTACATTGGACGAAACTTTATGCTCATCTCTCGGATATGTGCATTATTGAATGTCGGACTCAAATTTCTCTATTTTAATAAAAATCTTACAGTGGTTCAATAAAACCATATTTTATTTCTAGAGGTAATTGGTTTATTTCTCAAAACTAACTTCTGGTCTACAGCATCAAGGAATAGGTATTCCATGACTGCATATATCACACCACGGCTTACTCCAACTGGAACTCCGAAAGTTATTTCCACAAGTGGGTCCCCTAGAGGATATTCTGCTTTTGCTTCTCCACAGCGAACCTCTGGTGCCACTTCTCCTACAAAACTGCCATATGACGGACGATCATCATTGTCTTCATGGTATCCCTCAAGCCAACAGTCATCAGCAGCAAACTCTCCTCCTCGCGGTCGTTCATTGCCAGGTTGCAAATAGTTATTCCTATTTCCTAATTGTTATACAAGACTTTATCCAACTCATCGGTTCTTTTTTGGTCCACTTGATCTTTTGTTGCAAAGATTCTCCCTCATGTTTTTAAGCTCTAGTGTGATATTTGCTTACTTGCTGGCAATCTTTGGTGACATTCTTATCTAGATTATTTTGCTGTCATAATTATTGTTGTTTGCATAAAAAACCCTGTAGGGCGCACTCCTCGAATTGATGGCAAGGAGTTCTTTCGTCAAGCTCGGTAAGTTTTTCCTGGTGAAAGTTATAGTCATCGATTTTCTTGAAAAAGTAATAAGTTCTTCACTGCCTGATAAACTGAGTCAATTATTCAGGAGTCGTCTATCGTACGAACAATTTAGTGCATTTCTAGCTAATATCAAGGAGCTAAATGCTCAAAAGCAAACTCGAGAGGTATACTGTCTAGTTTCTGAAATTTTACTATGATTATTACTATTGGATATTTTGTTGCTGACTGGTTACTGAACTAGTGAGTGGGTTGTGTTTATATTATTCAGGAAACTCTAAGGAAAGCAGAAGAGATATTTGGGACTGATAACAAAGATCTTTATCAATCATTTCAAGGATTGCTTAACCGTAACGTACACTAGAGCTTCAAGTATTTCTTCGTTGGAATGTTCTATAATAAGTGGTATGTCTAATCCTTAAACTTTTCTCACCTTGTGAACTTGTCTTGGTCTTGGCATATATGGCTTTATTGACCATCTCTTATACACCTTTCATTTTAGAGGCAACAGGGCTCTTAGGATGTGCGCATGATGTAACATGAATGGGGTTTCAAGTCAATTGTCAATTGTTCAGTTTGGCAGGTTGTGGATCCACTCAGTCCCAGCCAACTTTAACTGGATGGTTTATTGGTCGTTCTTTGTTTATCCTGTCTGGAATTTCGGCTAATATTGGCTTAATTAAGCATCTTACTTTCAAAAAGCTGGAGCAGAAATTTTGTACGTTGCTTTATGTATCGTTAAATGCAGGTGTGCTTCTTTATCCCAAAAAAAAAAAAAAAAAAATGCAGGTGTGCTTGTACATAGTTGCTTTATGTTTTGCACTACCTGCTCGGTTACTTGCGGTCCTCGGAGATTTGAGAGGCATTTCGTTTTGTGTACAAAAAGAATTATCTTGAATGCATCGGATACGTGTGTCCTCTCTTTCTCAATTTATCAGACTGTTTAATCCACATATTGTATCACGACTGTTAATTCAGCCATCTCATGCTTATTCAATATTGAAGCTATTTGATCCTGATTGTAATACAATTTTGGTTTTGAACACCCTAAAATAGATGTTATAATCTCTTGAAATATTATTGTGTTAACATAGATATCATTAGAATTTTCACCGCATATCTTTCAGAATGAAGGTTGTGAAGTTTTTATTATTTGGTGGTAGTGGAAATGCGCATATGCAGGTATGAGATTTGACAGCAATCGCTGCTGAGACAGGTTTTCTTTAATGATCTCTCCATAAATGTACAATCAAAGTGATTCAAAAGATTAGCAATTTCAGTCCTTGATTCTACATCAGAAAATATGTTCCTGTTTGTTCGGATGTACAAAAAATTAATAACACAAACGTGTTAGTGCATGCCTTAATTTGAGACATAGGGAATAAAGAGCTCCTATATGATGCCAGTTTTTGACGTACAGATGTCATACCATGTGCTATTGCATAAAGATGGTAGCTAGCCTATGGCTTTACAATCTTTGTGAAAGATTACAAACTTTTCTCAGGTAAAGGAAGTAAGGAATATAATAAGAAGATCATTACCATTTTTCTTTTACCCAAAAAAAAAAAAAAAAAGAGAAAAAAAAATCATTTGATTGATTTTCGTAGCTTTTGATGTGACTCCCCTTGACTCTTTCCTTCATTCTCTGGTTTATATGTTAATTTGTTTGCCTTGGCTTATAAGAAATGTTTGAGAAGATAGGATTGAGTGGAAGGGAAAATTGAAAAAGCACTCTTTCATGTCACATCAATTAAAACGGCACACAATTAAAATTTCATATTATGTCAAAAAATTATAACAATTAAGTTAACTAATGTGAAAAAATTTTATTGGAGGAACACAATACGAGTTTAGTCGTATAAGATATGTTTGAAACGATTAGGATTAAGTAAAAGGGCAATTTTGAAAAAGCAGTCCGACCACACGTAGCCAAAGGGAGGGAGGAAAATGCCCTGTGCACGGAAAGGATAGGCAAATCTATTCAAGGAGGATCTTAGCATGCTAATACAAACAAAATAAAGTGTGCTATTTGGAAAACAGAATAATTCTAGACTGGCAAATGATGGAGAACAGGAAGATTGCTGTTTATGATCTTTATGCTCAGAAAATCTGCTTTGAGATTCACTTTGAGACAACATTGGCAATTGCATTAACGTGAACTTGTTGGACTACCATGAAGACCAAGATATTAGATAATATAGAACTATTCAAGTGATATCAGATAGTAATAAGCTATATATTGTTTTTTTTTTCTTTTTTTTTCCTCTCATTTTTGCAGTCAGACCTTTAAATTCAAGCATTTTATTTTATTAATATGTGAAAAAAGGCAGTCTCAATTGCCAACAAAAAAAAAAAAAAGAAAATAAAGGAGAAAGGTTGAACAATCTATAGGTTTAGCAATTATTCCATCAAATTGTGCTACTTAAGCTTCTTAAATGTTACTACAATCACAAAAATGATGAAAATGAATCTCTCCAATGTGGGACAAGCAAATATCATTTCAAAAATCATTTCTTGTCTCTACTAAAGCAGGACGAAGCACTTGTTCAGCTTCCCAGGTGCATAAATATAATATTTAGATGTGATTAGTTGCCTAAACGAATACACCAATTAGAGGCATCTCTTAGCTTAAAACTTGAACACCATCACTTCTTGTCTATCTATCCTATCCAATGGCACACAACAAAATCTCTCTCTCTCTCTCTCTCTCCATCAATTTTTTTCTTTGTTTTCCCTTAATTCTCATAAACTTCAACTTTAGAATAACAACATTAAAGAAAAAACAAACAAAATTATTCACATGCAAGTGGGGATAGAAATATTGGTCATGAGGCCCTGGCTGTGGTTATGCGGCTAAGTTGTTTGATGGGATGGAAAGTATTAACAGGGCACCTGATACTGATCAGTACCACCCGCCTGCAAATCTTCAATACTATCTTTCCTTTCACTTTTTGTGGCAAATAGCCAAGGAAAAAAAAAAAGATAAAATTTCGCCTACAAGCGTCACACAAAAAATGTTGTTTTTTTTTTTTTTCATGATATTGTTCCATTTTTATAGGTTCCCCAAGTTGATATATCCTAAGCTTAGGTAGGTCAGATATAGGAAAGTCCCCAGGAATCTTTTTTGATAACAAAAGATTTATGCATTATCTATTTTTTTTAAGAAATCTTTTTTGAACCCGATACCGTTCAAACTTTGAAGAATCTAAATAGAGAACAAAAGCACAATATTTCTGCTACTTCAGTGCATATTGTGATAAATTACATCCTTTTTTTTTTTTTGTTGTTGTTGGAAAGTAGCCATGATAAAAGGAAAATATGACAAAAGATCACAAGATAAAAGAGGAACTTAAGCTTAAATTAGTCCCGTATATATAATATATGTAGAACTATAATTGTGGTTTTTTATTGTTCATTTGATTTTAGAAAACTGAAACTTGTTATTTATTCAAGCACATGTGTAGTGGGAAAGAAGATGATTAATGAAAAACAAACATATTAATTTTTTAAATGAAATTTAGACATATAACATACACTCTTATAAACATGTCATGTAGTGTAAATTTTACATTTTCTTTTCCAATTGAAAATGTGGGGTTTTGAACTCTGGACTCAACATAAAAATTACTTTAAAACAAAATTGTGGTGGGGAATTGAGTTCTACATCTTATAATGTAATTGCGTGTGAAATTACCGTTAAATTTTGATGAAACCACCTCGACATGATAATTATACATGCATATAATATTTAACACACTTATTCTCCATCGCCTCTCGAGAGTAACAATTATCTCACTTTACTGTCACAACTCAAAATGACACAAATTCTTTTTTTGAGCTTATCATAAATTGTAGCGTTGGCACTTTTCGTCTTTGAGGAGTTAAATTTTAACAGTTTTCATCACACATGAAGTCAAGTGTTAGCACGCTTGACACAGGGCACAACATAGTAAATTTAAACAAAATAGACTTTAATATTTTAAAATTAAAAAAATTTGCAAATTCTTCCTCACTCAACTCTAACATTCTATTTGGTAAGAAGGAAAAAAAAAAGGAAGGAAAGGAAAACTATAATGCATAAAAAATTAGAATAATAGAAAAGATTTTAATTTTCTCTTGACTTGTTTGGTATGATATAGGGAAGAAAGAAAATGAATCTACCTTCCCTTATTTGATATTGGAAGTGAAACTAAAGAGATGGAAACATTATTATTAGTGTAATTACTTTTTTGCCCAAATGAGGACAATTTTGGATTAAAAATGAGGACAATTCAGTAATTTGACTTCATTTATGTAGTTATCCATATTTTCCTTCCTAAAATCCACCTACTTTTAGAGGGATTGAATATGGTGGGACCCACCAATAAAAATTTCCATTCAATTTTCCTTTCCTTCACAATTTCCTTTCTACCAAACAAGCTAACTTCCCAATTTTCGTTCTAAAATCCCTCCAATATTTTCTTTCCTTCCACTTTTCATTCATACCAAACACACTGTAAGGATACGTTTGGTAAGGGGATTCATACCATGATTTGAATCATAATTCATGGTTCGTTATAGTGTTTTTTCTCACAAAAAATACACATAAATTGAAAATGATTCTAATTTCATGATTTTAATCCATGAACCAAACGTCTCATAAGTGTTAGGACCTCTTCTGCTCGCAACCCCAACATTATAATCGTTTTTCTATATTTTCTTCTACCAACGAGTCACACGACCTGTACATGGTTACAACTCTTATTCTTCGGAGGTCGAATATAAAGATATAAAAAGTTAAAAACATGCAACTAACGATGTTACATTTTCCCTTTTTTTTTTTTTTAAAAAAAAAAGAGGCCATATTTGTCATTTTGCTCCTTGCTTATGGAATGCATAGTGGTTCTGTCATCAGTAAATGGGTTAGGAACAGGAATATAGCCTGGGGGGAACATATATATATGATGTACTTGCTTTGCTGAAGCAAAAACATACAAGCCCATGTGTTAGATTCTTCGGTATAAGTAGGTTTGATCTTTTTTTACTAGTACTTATATATGGGTGTGCAGCTTTAAACGGTATAAGAATATATATATATTCACATGATCATCATCAGGCCCTCTATTTCTCTTTCATCGGAAGTCTTCATGGCTTTTCCTTCTAAGTGTTTTTTTTTTTTTTAAATAAATATCTACGACTATAAATGGCTTTTCCTTCTAAGTTGCTATATACAGATTCACACCTTAATTTATAATACCTTATACTATACATGACCAGTGATCACTGGTCAAATAATATGATATAGCTAGGGTGAGTATATGATGCCTCTTTATCATTTAATTATCTATTTGGGATCTAATTAGTAATATTATTTAATATTAAAGATCACGTTTCCTATCTAATACACAAATCTCTCTCTGTCATGCACAATGCTTATCCAATTGATCGAAATGGATTAGTACATGGTGTACAATATATATATATATATATATAGATATATAATTTGCAAAGTCCATGTTGTTTCGACTAAAGAGATCAAAAGGTATAAACCACTTTTATACAGCTTGCAAAGTCGGCTCGCAAGACATAAATATTAATATCATTAGCGTATTTTGATTCCTTAATCATGATCTCACAGTATCTTAAAAAACTTTAAACCCATGCTTTTGTGTCGACGTAGTGTGTCAGTGTGTGTATTTATATATTAATATATCACCAGCTTGTTAATAATATTAACAGACTTATATGCATATAAATCTTTCCCAGTTTCAAGAATTGTATTTTAGAAAAATAAACAGGAAATCCATGCAAATCTATTCCAATAAATAAGTGTATGTTATTTGAACATCCATAATCATTGTTTAAAACTTATTTTGTAGCTACAAAATTTTGTCACTAAAAATCAATAATTTTGTAGCTAATTTGCAAATTTTGTAGCTAAAAATAAGTTGTGTAGCTAATGGTAGCATATTTAGTTACAAAATCACATTTTTTTTTTTAGCTAGACACTTTTAATGTCGCCGATGTAGCTACGACTTATCTACAAACAAAAATTTGTAACTAATTCTTTTAACTACAAAATTGATTTGTAGCTAAATTTTATAAGTTTTCTTGTAGTGAGCTAAAGACAGAAATATGGAATTTGTTTTTTTTTTTAGAAAAAAAAACCCTCTACCAAAATATTCAAATATATCTGAATGTTTATTAAATTATTTTTGAATATATTTTGGTAGGAAGCTTAAACAGTTTCTCATCTTATCCGAAAAAGAATCATAATCCCATGCAATTATCCATCCGCCCCTCAAATTGTAATCTTATATATGTCACCAGCAAATGTTTGGCAATTTGAAAAGTGAAAAACTAGAAACGAATAAATGATGAATATTGGAGTCAAAATTTAAACTTTTGCAATTTTTTATTCATTTTTAATTTCTGTGAAAAAGGTGTGCAAGTGCGGCTTCATTGGAATATATTAATTAATGAATAGCCATTTTCAAAGTGCATGTATCTATGAGAAATAAGTCAAACAAAATATGTCTAATTAAGCTTATATACACATAATTACATATTGACGCTAACAAACTGTACGCGTTTACAGGTATTAAACCTGGCACACATTTTAGTGAACAAAATTTGTACTTTGTAAATAAATGTAGGTGAACGTTTAATTTATAAATTTAAAATTATGATTCAAAATTATTTTTAATTTATACATATTTTTTATTAAAAAAATATTATAAAGAGTCACAAATTATAATTTAAATCATAAATTTTATAACAAACAACACTATTTTTAGTTATAAAGTTGCCCAACTAGCCTAGCCTGCTAGCTTAGCTATAATTGCCTAAAAATATATATTATGCCAATTCACTTCTTCTCTCTACGGTTATAGCTGACCAAAACAGTACGGGCAGGACACATAGCTGCCCCAAAAGCCACTTACACTATTGCATATATTGATATATGTTTACACCACATATATATATATATTTTGATAATTATGTTTATACCACATATTGTGCTATATATATTCAATCCTAAAAGAAGAGCCTCTCTATAATATCATCCCACAACCCCACTTTCCAAATCCCCACCACCTCTCCTAATTTCCATAATGGCTTCCATTCCTGAACATTTCCACTCCTCTCTAGACCACTGTTACACATTATTCCCTTCTGATCACCTCTCCGGGCTACCTGTCCCCACCGCGGCGGCGGCGGTGGGTGGCGGCGGTGCAATGTGGGGTGGCCAAGACGACTTTATGGTGCCGTTTTATGGTGAAAATATTGGCTTGGTGGATGCTAATAATAACTTGTCGTCGTCGCCGACCGAGTCCTTCATGTCGTCGTCGTCGTCGTTGCCGGAGCAAGTTGGAATCTCGGACGGTGTTGTGCCAGCATTCTCCGACTATAGAAGTAGTATGATGGGGTTGCATGGAATTGTTGGGGCTCAGAATTTCGGAGGATCATATAATACTAGTTGTGTTAATTACCCTCAATATGTCAACGCAAATGGATTTGAGTTTGGGGAGGAATGTTGTGCGACGTCGTTTTTGCCGGAGTTAATCAAGCCTGTTGGCCTTGTATCTGCACAGAAAAATTGGGTATGTCACACGCACACATGCATATATATTGTCATACACTTCCTATCATGGTCATATAGTATATATCTTCTTTTTAAAAAAAAAATATTTTTAAGTTTAAATATATATCTTGGGACTTGACCTGAGGTCTAGATACATTGAAAAACTCCATAGACTCAGTAAACACCAATTATAGTATATTCTTTCTAATAATGTCAATTTTCCTTGTAAATGCAAGCATGGGATATATTTTTAACCCAAAAAAATATTGAGGGAAAAAGTAAATCATATATAAAACAAGGTTAAGGGAATTTATTTTTCATTAATCGGGTCAATTAATATTAACTAATCTCTCTCTCTCTTTTTTTTTTTTTCGTTGTTGTAGGGAATGCAAAATAATCAAAATATACATGCAATTGAAGAGTCCAATATGATGAAAGTCGGTCGATACTCGGAGGAAGAAAGGAAGGAAAGGATTGTCAGATATTTGAAGAAGAGAAACCAAAGAAACTTCAACAAAACCATAAAGGTATATGTTCATATAATTAATGTTAACTAATTTGATTGTTTTTATGATTAATACTTAATGATCATGATTATTAATACAAATATTGTTTTTTTTTTTGTCTCCAGTATGCTTGTCGCAAAACCCTAGCTGATAGGAGAGTTCGAGTTCGCGGGAGATTTGCAAGGAATAATGAACTCATGATGTGTGGTGATCAGCAAATGGAATCCCAAAAAATCAATAATATTGATCCTGTTTTCAAAGATATAGAACTCTGCTGCGACGATACTGTTCAGGTACTTTATAATTTCATTTAGATACATTTATACGTGGAAACTATATAATATACAACTCAAAGAGAGTTTTATTTTGTGATAAAAAAAGTTAAAAAAGAAATAGTTTACGTACATATACACACACATACATATATGTATATATGCACGTGTATTACGAATTTTCTTCTAATAATCTGATATATATTATCATCTCCTCATTTACTGTGTGTTGTATGCTTTTACAGATCAAATATGATGAGGACGAGGATTGGCTGCGAGATTTTGCGTTATGTTGCTGGGTTAATGGAGGAGCTAATTAATTAACATTGTATTGATATATACATATATATGTATTAATAGACTAATTAATGTAGAATTTCGCATGATCAGATTATGCATTAATTTTAGAAGAAGTTTATATTTGCACTTAATCTTTGTAGCATATGCCTCCTTTCTGATACACACAAATAACATTACATAAAATATAATATAATATATTATATTACCTATATAATATATATGTATGTTGACATTTATTATATGGTTGCGGCGTACATACGTATGAGTATCAATTGGCGATATTCGAGACCACAAAAAAAAAAAAAAAAGAAGAATATTGGTTATTTGACTAAGGGTTTGTCTCACATATAACCGAGCTGATATTGGTGTTGTTAACTATAATTGATCGCTGAAGAGGTTAACGGTAAAAGAAAATTAAGATATATATGTATATATATACATATACATATA